AATTAGAGGAAAATATAAACAGGCCATAAGGATTGACTTGGCGCGAGGGGTTTGAGAGCTTAAAAAAATGGAATGGGTACTTTGGCTGTCAGCTATTATCAAGGCAATAGGAGGCGGGATGAGGTACACAGGATCTGCGAGGTTAAGCCCTTCCATTTTTTATGCTCAGTGGGGGTTTGTATATAGACTAAAGCCCTGAGAAAAAGTCTGCACCAGAGATTAGCTCTGAGAGATACCAGAACTGCACTGGGACAGAATGGAAGACAAAGAAAATAAATGGAATTGATACTGTTTTTGTCACTGAAGCCAGTAATGAAAAGTAAACTGAGGCAGCCTCTCATGAGGCTCAACAGAGGCTGAAAAATAGTTTCTAGGTGAAGAGAGTAGTGAGCAGAGTCCAATTCCACAGGAAGGTGAGGTGAGGTTTGATCAGGCGTGCGATGTCCACTGGACTGTTGGTTAGTGTGACCCTGATGAAGATAGTTTCTATAGAGCAGTGAGCAGAGGTCAGATTGACACATTTAATAAGTGAATGAAGAGGACTGAGAATGTTAGTAACTCCTGGACCTAAAGTTATAATTCAGTGTCAAGAATGGCAATAACAGAGCTCACTTTGGCTAAAGCAACATGTCTGATTTGGCAACTGCCGTGCTGAATCTCAGCTCACTTATCTTATTGGCCATCATGAGATCAAATTGTCGACAAGAGCATAGCTTTGCTGCATTGTCTGTTATTAAGGAGGCTGGAGAATGGAGGTGAGTGTTCTGACTTCTAATATGGATCAGCGATTTGAGTCTCTGGTTACTTAACTATCGCCTGTCAACTTGAAAATGGTTGGCCTGGAAACATTTAGCCACAGTCTCAGTTGGAATGTTCACATCTGAATGAAGTTTGTCTTTCCAACTTTCCAAACTGTTCCGCTGGCCTAGAAGGGTAAAGTGCATTATTTCCTGCTATTTCATTTTTATTAAAACTGTTTGAACTTGGAAATGAGGCCTGATGGTCCCATTTTCAGAAGGCTGAAGGTCACTGGGTGTTTCTGTGCAAAAAGAGAAAACAATGTGTAACCCCTCTGGCACCATAATCGAAAGAAATAGTGTGGTGATTACAGCCCTGCATGGAGGGGGGGGGGGGGGGGGGTTTGTGCACAGACAGTTCAAGATGTCCTTTCTGGGATTACAGGTTGGTTTAGTTGGGCAAATGGAGTGGGCGATCTATGAGGGAGTTTTCTGAGAAGCTGTTGCTGTTAGTGGATTGTATTTATTTTTTGTCAGTAATTCATCAGGTTGTACTAGACTTGCTACACTTTTCTAGGTAAAATTAATGTTTAAAAAAAAGAAATTACCCAGAAAAAAGGATAAAAAAATAATGCTAAAATGTCAGCTGTGGTTAATGGTCCCTGGGTAGTGCTCATGGCAATTTTTTTTTCCTGTTCTTTTATATTTTCAAACTTTTTACATGTGTTAATTTTTTAAAAAGAAAATAAACTCTCATTTGGAAGGACCTTGGCTGCTTCCCCAGGACCTAGTCACCTGCTGCAGCTGCCCCTTCCCATCTTCCCAAGCCCAGACCGGCTGGGGAGGCCGCCTGGGGCTGTCCTCTGACTCTCACTGTCCTGAAGCAGGTCCTGGGGAGTGATGTGGCTCTACCTCTGAGTCCGTTGGAAGGCACACTTGCTCCTCTCCTACCTCTTCCCACCTCCTCCTGCCTTGTGGCCAGTTTTGTTTTTGTAAACAGTTTTTGGGAAATGCCTGATGACCAGCAAGGTGCAGGGAAGATGGGAGAGGGAAGGGAGGGGTCATCAGGACAGGACATTCTGTAGGACAGCTGTCACCAAAATACATTTCCTTTTTTCCATGTGGTCTAGGCAAATTCGAACCACCATTATTTCACCCGAACGTGTACCCTTCGGGCACTGTGTGCTTGTCCATCCTCGAGGAAGACAAGGACTGGAGGCCAGCCATCACAATTAAGCAGGTATGCAGCGCGAGGGCCTCGCCTCAGCCTTCCTTCAGGACCAGAGTTTGCCTTTTGAACTGCTGACCTCCCACCTTGCTTTGTTTTTCTCTCTCACACAGATCTTATTAGGAATACAGGAACTTCTAAATGAACCAAATATTCAAGATCCAGCTCAAGCAGAGGCCTACACAATTTACTGGTTAGTGATCTGGCCCCTCTTGCTGTGACCTCTCTCATCAGCTCGCACAGCCTTCCCCTTCCCCAGAAGTTCCTTCCAGGCTGCCTGTAGGAAGGGGAGCAGTAGGCAAGCTGTAGGTGGGTGGATAGTCCTGACCCTCAGAGGGCGGCATACACACAAGCTCACCTGGCAGCTCACCTGGGCTCGGTGCCGAAAAGGGGGGACTGAGGTGACCAGGGAGGCTTCCGAGGAGGAGCTGCCTGTGCAAAGGGCCTGTGGTGGCAAGAATGGGCGACCAGGGCTGGTGTGGCCAGAGCCATGTTGGTGGGGGTTGGCAGGAGGCAGCCCGATGACATGGGCTCCTACTGGATTACTTTGCCCCTGATGGGATATCGCCAGTCAAACCCTGTGCCTCCTGGAGCCCGTTTCAGCTCAAAGGGAAGGGTGTGGACACTGGAGGAAGAGGCCATGGACCTCCCACCTCTGCCCTCCTTGGGCCCAGCCTGGGTATGGCAGGTCCAGGGGGATGGTCCGCTAGGGAAGTGGCGCTCCCAACTTGCTCTTGGTCATCTGGGTGCTCTGGAAAAGGGCCTGGTGTTACTTAGTGTGAGCAGTGGCGCTAAACCTGGCACGTGGGGCTGGCTGGCTGGACAGTGGGGAGGACCCTGGCCTTCCTGGCCAGCCTCCCCAGCTGGTCTGGGCAGGATGCTATGCCGAATTGGCAGCTCTGACCCTATTGCTCCACTTACCCATGTTCAGAAACCTGACCCACAGGGAGAGGCTGACTGAACAGGGGCTTGTTCTTTCCAAGGGGGCGTTTGTGGAATTGCAACAGGTAGGCTCTCTGAGCAGCTCAGGTGACCTGAGTTCATCTGAAGAGAAGCACCAGGTTGCAAGAGGTGCCCCCTCCCCTCCCAAATGGCTTCAAGTTCCTGGGTCCAGCCCAGTTTTGGCCCGGGGCGCCCCCTGGTGGCCAAGAGTGGCGAGCCGCTCCTGGGCAGGGGCGGAGTTTCTCCTCCCAGCCAGAGGAATTGCTGTGAGTGATTCCAGTGGAGCTGCCTTAAATTTACTTGGCTGCTGTGCATCAGCAACTCCAGGAGTTCTCATATCTTGACCCTTGAACTGGATGCTGTGTCGTTTGCACTGCAACATCTGTCTGCATCAGGCCATGTCAGCCTACGCCTCTGTAAATAGGGCCACTTGGGTCCTTAGTATCTGAGCCATTGCGATAGGTCCACAAAGCCAAAATGTCTTCTTGCTGGCCTTAGAGAGAGCTTGCCAGGCCCAGTGTGTGGCCGTGTGGGTGTGATGCCTTGGGCGAGTTGTGCGTGTGTCTTGATGGCGCGCCACTGGCCCACAGCCCGTCTGCCATGGCGCTCACTGTTGAGTTGTGGTATTGCGGCACTGGCAGCATGGGGTCAGCGGGCACTGCTGTGTGCCAGTGGATGCTCCCAGCTGGTGCCTACTCGGGATTGGAGCATCTCCTCTGTACTACGGGTCCTTACATGCCCGCTGGCATCATCCACTGCTTCACAGGAATGAGACATCATTTCTCCTGTAAGCATGTTTAAAAGCACCTTTTGTGAAATATGCTTAATCTCTTTTTTCAGATCTCTTTTCTTGTGTTTTCGGAAGGTCGCAGGGTGTGCCCTACACTGGCAGGTGCTCTAGGGCAAACACCCTGTGCCAGACCTCGCTTGGTAAATGGCAGGGCTGGACTGGGCTGCCTCTGCTATTGCCTCCAGCTCCTTCCAGAGCCCTCCTAGCTAGCTGCCTCCACCCTGGGGGTCTGGGACCTCAGCCAGGGTGGAAGCACAGGAGCGCAGGCTGCTCGCAGCACGGCCTGGCGGTAGAAGCTTGTCCTCTGGCCTTCACTCTTGGCTCTCGGCCAGGCGTGGTGCCGACACTGGCCTCCTGGGACCGTGTGCACCTGGGCACCATGCCAGCTCAGGGCAGGCTCCAGGCAGGTTTCCGCCTCTCCTGGTGCTGCCATTGCAGCCTTTCCCCAGAGAGGCTGGAGAGGAGGCCTGGGGTACCAGGGCCTGTGGTCTGCACTGGGCAGAGCTAAGAGAAATTCTGTTGGCCCCTCTGTGCCAACCCTGGGCCTGCGCCGTGGGCAGGGACCAGTGCTCTGAGGCCTGCTTGTTGCGAGCACAGCTTGGAAGGAGCCCTGGCTTTCTTATCAGGGTCTGAGTGTACACACTGCGCCTGAGCTCCAAGGAGGGCTCCTGACCGGCCCCTGAAGTATTTGACGAGACCTCTGACCTGGTGTGTCAGGAGCCCTGTTCATAAATGCATCGTGTACCCAAGGGCCTCGAGGTCACAGTGATCCCCTGGTGGCAGCTGGTCTCCTCTGATGGCAAGTTTGCTGCACTCCCCTGGCCTGGGGCAGTGCCCACCAGCCCCCTTCCCTTGGCACCTCATCTCACACTGGAGTCCCAGCTGAGGTCCTCCGACCACCAGAAAGCTGCCCCCACTCCATACCTTCACACTCGGGACTGAGTCCCCGGGAAAACCCACCAGATGTCTGTGTCTGTTATTGAAGACTAGATGAGCGATCCATATTTTCTCTCCAAAATGACTAATGCTGTTTCAAACAGAAAAGAGAGAAAACTGCTGGTCACTGGTTAGACCAGCCCAGGCTATTCTAACCTGTCTCTCTCTTGACCTCCTCAGCCAAAACAGAGTGGAATATGAGAAAAGGGTTCGAGCACAAGCCAAGAAGTTTGCACCCTCATAAGCAGCGACCTGCGGCAACATCAAAAGGAAGGGATTGGTTTGGCAAGAACTTGTTTACAACACTTGCAGATCTAGCATTGCTCTATACAATAACTAGTCACCTAGGGGAGGTGGGCGGGCGCCATTTTCCATTTCCGCCACTGGTACACAGTTCTCCACTTGCTGAATTGCCCAGTTTTTCATACAGGGTCTCTTCCTTCAGTCTTTTGTATTTTGATTGTTATGTAAAACTTGCTTTTATTTTAATATTGATGTCAGTATTTCAACTGCTGTAAAATGATAAACTTTTATACTTCTATGAGTCCCTGAGGAGCTAGTTCCCTTTGCTCGCGGGTGCAGGCATGCTTCCCCTGTCAGAGCTACACTACCCTCCAGCTGGCTGTATGGAAAGGAAATCGGCCTGTCCCCTTCCCTCGCGCCTCTGTCCTTCTCTCCGCAGAACCCGGGTTGTGTTGCTATGAGCCTCAGATCCAAAGTCAGCCAGCCTCTTGTTTTCGCATCACTTCCTTTGTGTTTATATGGCGTTTTGTCTGTGTTGCTGTTTAGAGTAAATAAACTGTTTATATAAAGGTTTTTGTTGCATTATTGTCATTAAAAGTATGAGGAGGCAGCCTCAGGGGGTGTCTCCCCACCCCCTTTCCACAGCTGCAGGCCCCACAGAGCACCGCCTTCGGCCCCAGCAGGTCTCGCTGCCTGTTCCTGGGTCCTGCGTGGCACCTGTCCTGGTCCTTTGTAAATAGTGCTGTGTACAGAGATGCTGTGTGTCCGGGGTTTCTGTCCACCCCACCTGGGTCTTTGGGCTGTTGAGCACTGGAGTTCAGATCTGGTCAAGTTGGAATTTGTGTCGGGACTCCTAAAGCGCGCTCTGCCTGAGCCATCAGGAGGAGATGCCTAAACCCAGGCCAGGGTGGCCGAGCCGGGGCATGTAGCCTCCTCACACCCGGCACTGCCCTTGGGCCTCTGCATGTAGCATCCTGGCCCTCCACGCTCACCGATAAGTCCCCACCCCTGGGTGCAGGTGGTCTCGGGCACCGGGACACCCCTAGCGAGCAGCTCCGAGGGCCACTGTCACAGGTTCTTTCTGTGTCCTGAAACGCTCTGAACCTGGGAGCCCAGGGAGGCTGCTCTCAGAAAGAACCCTGGAACATGAGCCCACAACGGATCTTCCAGGAATCCTGAGTCCTGGCTCTGGGGAAGTGCGGACATGGAGACAGGAAGTGACAGAGGGGACCTGGCCTCTGGGTCCCAGTGAGCACAGCTGACGAGTACAGAGGTCCAGACGTGGCCCTGTACCAACCAGCCTCGCCCTCCCGCCCGAGGACCCTTTCAGAACCAGGCTGCCTGTGGCTCTGGCATGCAGACTGAGGTGGGGGTGGTCCCCCAAGGGGTGAGGTCAGCCAGGAAGGGGTGCCTCTGTTCACCCTAAGAAATGTGGCCCCTCAGCCAACAGCATGGCCCAAGGGCCCAGTGCCTTGTTCACTTGCTTAGCTGGACGTCTGTTGGGTTTCTGAGCTCTCGGTTTGATGTTCATGATTATTTCTGATGCAGAGGGTCTCATGCGTGGGGTTCAGTGGGTCAAATGTGTATAGCCCCTCCCAAATGTCTTATTTTGTAATGACTGAATTACACTTAGTAATAGTTACACATGTATATGGTTAATATATATGGAAATGCAATATATTTTCTAGTTAAAGCATTCTAAAGTAATCGATGTTTCTAGCACATTGTCGTGACTTTGGCTAATGAAATGTCCTTTTGTGCCACAGTTCTTGGCTTAACAAAGATGTGAATCTTGTAACAGGAGAACTATGAAATGTGATCATTCTGTTTCTACTGTAAGGGAAGAGAGTGTGTTCCCAGCATGAGGCGCCTAATTAGTGAGGAATTGTGGGCAATAGATTAACCACTGTATCTAAGAATCCTCTAATTAAAACATTTCCACAAACTGCTGCCTGCAGGGTGTGTCCTTTCCTGCCCCCTCCCTCACAGGCCACCCCCTGCTCCCTATTGCTGTGGTCTCAGGATTAGACCCTCAGTGACCCAGGGATGGGGGTGATGTCCCCTGGTGCTGTGGTCAGATCCCTCCTGTGCCCGCTGAGACCCTGGCATGGGCAGGCAAGGTTGGCACACATCTGTGCTGGCCACTGGCCGTGCCCTGCATCTTTGTGGCCTGCTGGAGCATGGTCTCCTGGCTGGGTATCTGGGGCTGTTGTCACCTAGATGGATCTTCTCGGGGAGCAGGACGCCATCCTCACAGCCAAGGTGCACACAAGCTCTCAGTTCAGACCCTGATGGGGCCCCTGGGGTGTTGTGTCCAGGGCTGGCGGGGGCTTGGTCTGGCCATGGCCTGGGTGCAGAGCAAGGAGCCCGACCACGGGTGGGATGGGGCTAGCTAGCCCTCAGCCTCCATCTCCCCAGGGGTGACTGCTCAGAGGCCCAAGTCGTCTGGCCAGGCTCGGGGTCCCCTGTCCTTCCTGGACTGTCCCGGCTGGGCCAGTGCTGTGTCCTCACACCTGTCTGCCCACACAGGCCACACTGCTCGCTGACCTGCTGGCCCAAGGCCTTCCCACATCAAGCTCTGCCATGAGCAGCCTCCAGTTTGAGACTGAAGACAAGTTGGCAGGTTGCAGGCCCAGCATTGATAGGCTGACAGGTCTGAGTCAGCTTCCGCTGGGAGGCCGAGGGGCACCTGTGCGGCAGGGGCCCAGGAGACGCAGGCTTCCAGCACAGTGACCCCATCTGCGGAGGCTGTGGGCCCCACGGGGCGGGAGCACCAGGGTCCCATCCTCCCTGCTGCCCCCAGGCCCCACACCTGGCTCCAGCAGTTTGGCCCAAAGGCTCCGGCATCTGATAGGAGGCCGTTTTCCCTGATCTAGAAGAAAATGAAGCAGCAGAGTCACAGAGCACAGACCTGGGTTCCTTCCTCCTGAGCTCTGCCCTTCCAGGTGCCCACCCACCCCTTCCAGGATGCCCTCCTGCAGAAAGGTCAGCTGGGTGCTCATGCTGCCCCTTCCATTCCTCCAAGGAGGAAGGACTCGAGCCTCCAGAGCCAGGGACAAGGCATCTCAGCCCTCAGCTGTGCAAAGAACGGTGCAGTTCTGTGGAGGAGCGGCTGCTGGGTCCACTGTTCGCTCTCTCTCCTGATACTGCCCTGGCCCCACAACGTGGTGAGTGCGGGAGGGGTCCTTGCTGGGGTCATACCTCTGCTCCTGGGCCAGAAGCTGACAGGAAGGCCAGCGGACAGACAACGGATGCCATGTCCCAGGCCTGGCACAGGCTCACCTGTGCAGGTACTGGCAACAGCAGGACCCCACTGAGCTGCTGGTGACTGCGCCCCAGGAAGCAGCCTCTCAGGCAGGGGGCCATTTGGGCCAGACCCCTTCCCACCTGGAGCCACCTCTGCTGGCAGAACCACTCACAATGGCCCAGGCGATGGAACAGATTCCCGCAGTCCTCAGGGTCCTGCCACGAGGGCAGGCAGGAACTCTGGCCCCACTGCCATGGCCGCCCCTTTTCCTGCCTCTGTCCTGGACTGGTGCAGAGGCTCGCAGGGCCTGGGAGGACCCTGACTGCCAGGAGGCCGGGCCTGCAATTCCAAGGGCTGCCCCCAGAGTGTGAGCTGGTGGGTTATTTAAGCCTGTAGGGGTGGGGTGGACTCACCCGTGTCCTCATCTCCTGTGCCAGCCTTTCCCTGCTCTGCATTGGCCTTCAGAGTGCTTATCCAGAGCCCAGAGCTGGGTGTTTTTCTCCTGGCCCTAGGAGGGAAAGCCAGTCCCCCCACCCCCACCCCCAACACACACACACACACACACCTGCCAGGCGCTTTCCTGTCAGAGCCCAGAGGGTATGACCCCCACCTCCCCACCAGCTCCACAGAGCCCTGACCTCTAGGCAGAATGTTGTGCCCACACAGCTGCTGTGACGTGACCCCCTCCTGCCCCCCACCTCCCCTTACCACCTCCAAAGCAGGGCAACTGTCTGTGCTGCTCAGGACCACTGTCAGGGGTCTGGGCCAGAGGAGCCAGGGTGACACTGACTCAGGTGGGCCTGACTCAGGCTCAGAACAGGCCGGGAGAATGAAGGGATCAGCTACAAATGGGGCCATCGCTCCAGCCCCTGGCTGTGTGTGTGGAGGGAAGTCCTAGGGCTCATCCTTTCCTAGGGAAACAGGCTCAGGGCTAAGCTTGGGACCCAGCCTGTTGCTGTGTGGCCCTAGACAAGCCCTTTCCCCTCTCTGGGCTTCAGTTCACTTATCTACAGAGAATGGTGAAGTCTCCTGGGGCCTTCTGCCATCTGGCTAGTTAATTAGTTTCAGGGCTAGTGCCTCTGCCTTGGGCCGCCCCTGGGTTCCCCAGGGCATGGGTGGGTGGTACAAGCAGGGGCCTCCTCCCCTAGCAGCAGCCCCTCCTAACTTCCTGTTTACAGCTGCTACAGAGTCTCAGTTCTTTCTCCCAAGCCATTTTGATCACCATGGCAACCGGACTGGTGTTTGTTCCAACAGGTTGATAGAATCTGACACAAAATTGCAGGGGTGGGGGCACCAGTTCCAAGATCCTGGCTCAGGACCTGCCAGTCCCCCGGGGAAGGACAAGCTGCCCCCATAGGATTGCTGTACCCCGCAGAAGGAAGCCCAGTAGCAGCTGGTAGCATGACTCCAGGCCCTGCTCCTGCTTCCATGACTCATCTCTGTCCCAAGCAGCCCATGCATATCCTGAACAGCCTCTGCCTCATCTGCCTGGCTGTGCTGGGTCAGGATGGAAGTAGGGCCTCGGGACAGAGCTTATAGGAAACCTAACCTGCAATTCTGTCCCCGCACCCTGCAATGCAGTCTCTGATCCCCCTGCAGTGCCTCTCTCTCTCTCTCTCTCTCTCTCTCTCTCTCTCTCTCTCTCACACACACACACACACACACACACACACACGGTAGTTCTTTGTTTCTTCCTACAACGATGGGTGGGTATAGGGCAGCATGATGTGAGTCTGGATCTGGAAGCTGCGACAGGTGGTAGCCCCATCAGAGATGTCCACCCCACCCCTGTGTACGGGGAGAAGCACCCTGTAGGTGGGCAATTCGCTGAAAGATGCAGTGGTTAAAGTTGGTGCCTCCCTGCGTGGAGCTATTCTCTGGAGCCCTGTTACTCCAGCCTTTGGGTCTCCCTTCAGCTTGCCTGACCCCTGGCCTTGCCTCTGGGCCTGAGCTGTGGGTTCCAGGCTTGTGTTTCTGTCCTCCAGGGTGAAAAACTACAAATCTCTGTCTGATCCCCAGGACAAGGTGCTCTGAGGATCCAGCAGAGTGAGCCAAAAGCAGGGCTGGGATCCAGGGACCCTGTGCACCACAGGAACAGAACCTCTGCACAGCCCCCACAATCCTCCAGTGTGGCCCAGACGCCCAGCAGCACTGGAGCTTGTAGACCTGCAGATGGCCCGCCCCAACCCAGACTTTTGGAATCAGTAGGTTTGGGGTGGGCCAGCAATCTGTGTTAACAAGCTCTCCAGGCGACCGCGGTCAAGTTCCAGAATGCTGTGTGGATATGGAGTGGGGAGCCCAGAAAGGGACCCTAAAAGCGGGCTGGGAAATGCGCGGGTGGGGTCCAGCTCAGGCCCTGGGGTTCCACGGGCTGTGTGACCAGGACTGTGGCTCAACCTGGGGTGTATGGGGCCTCATCGGGACCATGGGGACGATCACCGCAACAGGTAGTCAAGGTCGTTACGGGCATCCTGGGTTGATGACTGCAGCGCCCCTCGCCCCTGGTGTGGACTCGCCCCCTTGAGAGGAGGGAGCTGGTAGGCCCGAGGTGGCCAAGTCCCCAGACCCAGGCCTGCTCCAGGTTGCCACCGGGGACAGCGCGGGGCTGGGAGGATGACTCCGGAGGTGGCTGCCCAGCCCTTCCCCAAAAGTCTCTTGTTCGGTCTCGGTGACTCTGGCCTCGGGAGGGGCTCCTGACGCAGAGCTGAGCCTGCTTTCAGGTCGGCAACAGCCGATGGGTTGACTGACAGCTCTGCGCCCCGACCCCTGGGGGAGGGAGCTCCTTGGCCCCGGCCCTGGGAGAGCAGGGACCCTCGCCCGGCCTCGCTCACGGTAGGGCACGCGGGGGTGCACGGGAGGGGGAGGGGGCGTGCGGGGGTGGGCCCGCAGGGGCGGGGCGAGCAGGCCAGGTCCCGCCCCCACCCCCACCCCGGGCCGCAGCCGCGGTGGGTCAGCTGCGCTCAGTCGTAGGCGCGCCTGGCTGCGAGCGGTCGCTGTCCAGGGCGTCCCAGAGGGTCCGTGTGAGAAGGGGGCCCGCAGGGACCCCAACCCCACCGCAGGACCCCAAGCCCACGGTGAGTGTTGCGACTCCATCTCGCGCCGTCGAAGCTTAGCCGGTGCCCACCCGGATGGACCTGGGACGCCGACCCCTTCACCTCCTGCGTGGGTACCACCAGGCGGCACTGGGAGGCCCCCAGGCGGAGGGCGGCGGGAGGTCGCAAAGACTCGCCCCCGGCCCCGGGGAAACTGAGGCCGGTGCGAGCTCGGAGGAGCGGATCTCCGGCATTTCTACCCGCGCCCCGCTGTGCGCCTCCCCCCGCTGTGCACCCTCCCCCGGGAGCACAGGAGTGGGAGGGGGTCGGGGTCGGGGCGGCTGGTCAGTCTGCCGCGGGGGTGGGATCCGGCTGAGGACCCTGAAGACGCTTTGCGGTGTTTCCCAGGCAACCGGCCGGGAAGGAAGACGCCCCAGCGCACCGTCCCTCCCACCCTCCCACGATCCTCGTAGGACCCTGGCCTCCCCAAAATCCGAGTCAGCGAAAGCCCCGCCCATCTCCTTCACCTACCCCAGGGTGCTAGGGGGCTTAAAAATATACATACTCATCTGATCATCTTCCGAACTTCCTGGACCACCCTCCCTCCATTGGGGGAAAGACCCCTACAAAACCGGTGGGGGCCCAGGTTCCCGTGGGCAGCACGGAGGGGTTGGGGAGGGGGGTCAGTGAGCGAAGTGGGGGGGATGTTGCATGGAGAACATTGCGTGGAAACAGGTAAGGACGGTAAGAGGGGACCTCGAAGGAATAACGAACTCACGGGGTAAAATCATTGTTCATGTGTTCATTCCAGAAGCATCTAGCCACCCTTGACAGCTGGTCTCATGGAGCCCTAAGAACACTTGCAGAGCTGGTTACAATTCATACTCCTGGGCCCCTCCCCAGGGAGCAGCATTTGTAATGGGCATCGCCCTTGGGTTGTGCAGGCTTACACTGATTGGGAAGTCATTGGGGCCTGGGAGAGATGGGAATCAGGAATCAATGAAAAAGAGGGGAAGGGGTAGTAGGGGCCAGGCTGGAAAGAGAAGACTGAGAAGATGGCATGGAGAACTAGCATGTGAGGCCAGACATCCTGCCACTCCCTACCCCCACCCCCAAGTTGCCAGGGACCTGATTTCTGTGAGAAGGGCATCCAGCGCTCTGACGGTGTTTATCCCTCTGAGGATGCCCAGCTGGCCACGGGGACACTGACGGAGGAGGCCGACCTGGCTTTTTGGTTCAGCTCAGCCGCCCCAGACTCACCTGCCTCAGAACCACCGAGAGGCTAGTGGGAGACAGCCTGGTCTGGAGCCTTGGGTTTGAATCCTGGCTCTGAGCAGGTCACCCCAGGCCTGGGCTGTGAAATGGGGCGTCCACTTTGCAGAATTGTCATTTCCCATTCACCCCGGGCCTTGGAGACAGCCAGGGGACCAAGCAGACCCGGCCATTTGGCTTGGCCCAGTGCCAACATGGCTGGCCTCAGTTTGCTGGCTGGACCAATGGGAGCTGTGGTTCTGGCCCTGGTGCCTGGGCACTAGCAGGGATGTTCTGTCTGCTGCCCAGGCCCTGAGGGTTGGAGGCAGGGACAGCTTGGGAAGCCGTCCCGCTGGGGCCCATCACACAGGTAGAGGGCTCTGTAGCTCTGCGCCAGGCTCACTCCTGCCCCATATGGGCTGAGGGGCCTTGGCAGCCAGTGAGTGCTTCCTGGGGGGCTGGCCGCAGGCCCACTGTTGAAGCTCTGGGTGAGGTGCTGGTTGGCTCCCAGGGCCGAGGCTGTTAGGTGCCACGAGATCATCACCAGCCCAGGATCCCAGGGGAACCTTAGGTGTCTCTGAGCACTCAGAATGAGCCATCACTCCCAGACACCTGTGCCCAGACACCGCTGTGGCCCCCATCTCGGCATTGGGCTAAGGGAGGAAGGAGGTACGGTCAGATGAGGGGTAGGGTGGCCCACCTAGACCCTAGGACTCGGGATGTGCCAGGAGCCTAGTGCTTGGACACAGGAGCCAGGGGGACCTGGCCTCCACTACCGGCTGCCTGCTGGCTCTGTGGCCTTGGGCAGCTTCCTAACCCTGGGGCCTCAGTTTCCTCGTCCCGATGAGGGGAACAGAGCAGCACCCCTCTCCAGGGCTGAGCATTATGCAGTGAGATGCTGAGTGGAAAATACAGGTAGGGTGCTGCCCCCCCACCACCGCCTTGAACATTTGGTTCTCACAGACACGTCCATCCCTGCAGCTCAGGCCACTGGGCTCCTGCGTCACGTTTGCCTGTGAGATGTAGAGCCCCTGTAGCCCCTGTCACATGCAGACACAGCGGCTGGCGGTTGCCCTGGCAACAGCTCAAGCAGCCGCTGCTACTCTGGCTTTGGGGGCTGCAGAGGGAGCAGCCCCTTCTACTCAAGTGGAAATGACAGTGGCCCTCTGCCCAGGCTGATGACTTAGAGAGACCAAGTGACTTGGCACAGTCCGGGGCGGGGGGTGATCTCCCGGGCCTCTGCCCTCCCAAACCCCCCTGCCTCTGGTGGCCATGATGGTGCCAGCCCTCTCTTTGCCGAGGTGCCCTCTCCTCCTGCCTCAGGCTGTTCCCAGGATCATGGCTTCTGTTGGTTTTTGGTTAATTTAGTAATTGCTAAATCTGCTGTGCGAAGCTTCTTGGGGAGTGTATGGCAATGCTGCTGAACTAATGAAGGAACGGAGGACCGGAAGGCACAGCCGTGCTCTCTGCCCGCAGGCCCCCACCATGTCCTCCTTGCTGGAGATCAAGAGCAGCGTGCTCAGGCAGGTGCAGGTCTGCCCGTCCTTCCGCCGGAGGACTGAGGAGGAGCCGGGGAGCGCCAGTGCTGACCCGCAGGAGCCCGCCACGGGGGCCTGGTGGGTGCCCCATGGCCCAAGGGAGCCGGGGAGGGTCTGTGCCCAAGAACATGGGGTGCCCTGTGGACATCGCGCTGTGCCTCAAGGCCTGCCTTTAGTCATGTGGGCTGGTGGCTGGTCCTGAGCCGGCAGCATGTGCTGAGCCCTGAGCTTTGGGGAGGGTCTGTTGATCCCATGCCTGGCCTTTCTCGGCAGGAAACCAGGGGATGGCGTGGAGTTCTTCACCCAGATGCGCCTCATCCTGAAGAAGGAGGAAGGCAGACGGAGCTTGCCATGCCCTGAGGTGAGGATGGATCTTGGGCACTGCTGTGTAGCATGGGGGGCATTGTGCCAGGCCTCCTCACCTGCCCCTTCCACATCTGGCCTCCATCCCTCCATTCCCTCCCTGGACCACCCCCCCACCCAATCAGCCACAGGTCCCCCACCTTCGGAGACCCTCACCCCATCACCCCCTCTTAGGTCCTATTGCGCAGCAGCTCACCAGCCCCCACCGAGCCTGTGGACCCCAACCGTGGCCTGAGAGCCCTGACCCAGGAGGAGGTAAGAGGGATGGGGTTCTGGCCCTAGAGTGAGGCTGCGAGCACCTATTGTGTGCCAGGCTCAGAGTCTGGGACTCGGTGGATAGTAAAGGTGTCTGGGTGGTGGGCCTGGCCTCCCCATGCAAGTGAGTAAGGAGCAGAGGTCAGGGATGAGTAGGAGCCCCCAGCAGAGGGCTAGGCAGGTGCAAAGGCACTGAGGCAGGGCGTGGATCTCTGCCAGTGGGAGGAGCTGCTGAGGGCTGGGGGCTGGACACACAGAGGGTGGGCCTAGGGGGCCTAAAGGGAGACAGGGGTGTGGTGGCAAGAGACTCAGGGTGTGCTCCCCACACCACCCACAGGTAGAGATGCTCTATGAGGAAGCCTTGTACACCGTCCTCTATCGAGCAGGAACCATGGGCCCCGACCAAGTGGACGACCAGGAGGCCCTGCTGAGCTACCTTCAGCAGGTGAGTCCCATTGGCTCGGTCTGTCCTGCTCTGAAAAGGACTGCGACCACTGCCCACCACTGACATCACTATCAGTCACCTGAACAACACACAAATGTGCACCATGTACACAACATACACGTATGTGTGTGTGCACAGACAGACACACATACAGGCTGACCGGACACACACACGCACACACAGAAGGGTAGGAAGGACAAGCAGACACATCTTTTCTCTCACCTGTGCGCTACCCCCACCCATGACATTTGCAGTCGGGCATCCCTGTCTGGGGCCATGCCTGAGGCCCCCACGGGGATGGCCGGCCTTGCTTTGGGGGTCATCTGGGCCCTCACACCTGCCTGCCCCTCACAGGTGTTTGGCACCAGCCCTGAGGAGCATGCAGAGGCCATTGAGAGAGTGAAGAAGGCCAAGGTGAGGTTGCCACCTGCCTGTGCAGAGCTGACCAGCCACATGCCCATGTTCAAGGACTTGGGTGGAGGGCACAGGGCAGGGCTGAACCCCTAGAGGCTCCCCATCACCTCTCTGCCCACAGGCCCCCACATATGCCCTGAAAGTGTCCGTCATGCGTGCCAAGAACCTGCTGGCCAAAGACCCCAATGGTGAGCGAGGACTGGCCCGGACGTGTTAGCTGCTCCCAGACCTGGTTACTGTGGAGAGGAGGGGGGCCTGGGTCAGGGACTGAGGCACTTACTGTGTCCCAGGCTTCAGTGACCCGTACTGCATGCTGGGCATCCTGTCGGCCTCGGGCACCCCGCGGGAGCCAGGCCCACACAAGGAGCAGCGCTTCAGCTTCCGGAAGGGTGCCAAGCGTGGCAGCCCACAGCCAGCGAAGAGCATCCAGGTCACCGAGGTCAAGAGCAGCACCCTGAACCCTGTCTGGAAGGAGCACTTCGTCTTGTAAGCCCCCTCACCCAGCAGATGGTCAGGGAGGCATTGCCTGCAGTGCCAGCCCAGCCCTGGGGTACACGAGGGTGGCTGTGACCAGAGGGTGACCCCTGTAAGTAGCCTCAGTAACTGCCTAGGAAACAGGTGGCTTCATATGCCCACTTGCTAGAGGAGAAACTGAGTCTCCAAGAGATCCGTGTCCTCAGGGCCACACACCCTGTCATGGACGCTTCCCTGTGTCTCCTAAAATGGTCCCTGCCCAGCCCTGGGCAGCCCCTCACGGATATCTCTATTTTCCTTGTAGTGAGATCGAGGATGTCAGCACGGACCAGCTGCACCTAGACATCTGGTATCGACCCTGTGCCCTGCAGGCAGGGGCTGTGGGTGCCTCTGGGCTGAGGGTAGTGGGAGGGGGCACTCGGGGATGGGCTGGGTTCCAGACAAGCCGGGTGCCCCCTTCCTCAGGGACCATGACGATGATGTGTCCCTGGTGGAGGCATGCAGGAAGCTAAATGAAGTCATCGGCCTGAAGGGCATGGGCAGGTACAGCAGGTGGGACCCTTGTGCCCTCCCAGTGCTGGTGGCTCCCCAGAGACCACATGTGTGATGCCCACCCTGCTGTGCTCAGGTATTTCAAACAGATTGTCAAGTCAGCCCGTGCCAACGGGAAGGCGGGGCCCACAGAGGACCACACTGATGACTTCCTGGGCTGCCTCAACATACCCATCTGGGTGAGTGGGTGCGGAGGCTTCACTCACCGAGGCACTGCCAGTGGCTGTGTCCTGTAATCCCCCCAGAGCCCTCCATCCTTCTGGGGCCATGGGGGAAAGCCTCACTGAAGGGGGGCGCAGGGCCAGTCTCCTTGGGACTCTGTCCCGGCACCCCCGAGTGCTTACTCTGTGCCAGTCACCCCAGTCCCCTGGGAAGCGTGGAGGCCTGTGTTCTCCCCACAGCCCCACAGCATCCGAGAACTCGCCATTCTGAATCCCCTTCCTGCAGGAGGTGCCCGTGGCTGGCGAGGACCGATGGTTCAAGCTGGAACCACGCTCCAGCGCCTCCCGCGTGCAGGGAGACTGCCAGCTAGTGCTCAAGCTGATCACCACGCAGGTGGGGAGCCGTGGGGAACCGTGGGGACCCGGGCCCTGCACCTCAGCCCATGGCTCGGGCCCCTGATGAAGGGCCCTGTGTTCCAGAGGGATACGGGCATGAGCCAGCGCGGGCGGTCGGGCTTCCTGTCCTATCTGCTGCTGCTCAGCCGTCTGCTGCAGTTCGAGCACCGAGCCGAGGAGGTAGAGGCGCCCTCGGGTCCCCGCGGCAGCTGGGCTCGGCCTGGGGGAGGCAAGCGACGGGGACCGCAAGCGGGAGGGGATGGGGGTCTCCCACCTCCACCCACGCCCAGTCCCTCCCCCAGCCCAACTCCAGCAGCTGGCGGGGCGAGCTCAGCGCGCCGGCGGCCACTGTGCTCTGCCTGCACGGCGCTCAAAGCAACCTGTCTGCCCTGCAACTGGCGGTGCTGTGAGTGGGCGGGGCGCACGGCGAGGGGCGGTGCTGTGAGTGGGCGGGGCGCACGGCGAGGGGCGGTGCTGTGAGTGGGCGGGCGCACGTCGAGGGCGTGCTGTGAGTGGGCGGGCGGCGAGGGGCGGGCGTGGCATTGGCTGGCGGGGCATGAGAAGGCC